TGTTACGGGTGGGTGGGTGGGTACATGCAGTGGATTTCCTTCACCCAGCGTTACAAAGAAAACAGTGGCATTGTACGACACACTAATTGCTTGCCAAAACACGCGCACACCACTTAAAATGGTGCACAAAATGCCTGGGAGGTCCTGAAAAATAGTCCAAAGCTGTCCAAAGACTTGTACACTTGCTCACCAACAGGACAGACAGCACATCTCAATTACTAAATCAGGCTGCAAGTGAAACATTTGCAAAGCTCTGTGTTCTTTTCCAGACCATCACAAGACACAGTAAATGTGAAGACTATTATTAACCAAATATCTGATTGCAGTACTTGGAAAGATGTGCAAATTGATTCAGTTAATACCATTGTTCCCATTATGTAATTGCACTCTTTACAGATTCAGCAAGATGAGAATCACATCTTAACTCTACAGGTCAAGAAAGTCAACCTACCCTGGAAATAGTCACACTTTCCATCCATAAATATATAGTTCATCAAGATGACACTGAATATTGATGCCCAAAGGTGGAGATCACTGAAGAGCAAGCTAAATCCTACAGGCTAAACAAAAGAGATAGCAGCATCAGTATATGGGCTCTAAGACCACTTTCTTGGTACAATTTTAAAAGAAAGCATCCAGTCTTTTAAATAGGTCCATGCAACTAAAAGATTTCCTCTCCCACTTCCTACCTCAATCTGAAACCCCAAACTCCCTCAGATTAAATGTCTAAATCAGCTTTGAAAATAGAAAAAAGTCCACAAGATAAATTTCTTGTATGTTTTACAGATTAGGGATGTCCCATTTAAGTTCCAGATTCCCTACAAGAACATCCTCTTAGTACTCCTATCAATGGCCAAATCTAATGCTATAAGATCACCTCTCGGCCTTCTCATCTCCAATGATGAGCATAGGCCAAAATTGCTCAAACTCTGGTCCCTTATAAAACAATCCCTTCCTCCCAACATATCAGTCTAGTGAATATTCTCCAAACTGCCTCCAATACACACATTCCCTTCCTTTCCCCAATCCTGAGAAAGGAGGACAAGACTGTATACAATGTTCGTGTTGTGGTCTTGATGCCCTGTACAGTAATAGCAAGATTTTCCTTTTATAACTGCACTCTTGCAATATAGGCGAACATTCAATTTGCCTTCCCAATTACTGGCTATAACTGCCTGCTAACTGTAATATGCAATTTGTCAAACATTTCCCTTTCACAAATCCATGTTGTCTCTGTCCAAATGCATTCAGATTTCTAAACAACCTGTACCCACTACCATTTACGTGCTAAATGGCAAGATTATAATATTTTCCCTCATGATAGACTTCAGACTAACTGGCTTACAGCTTCCTGCTTTATCTTTATTGATTATGTAACATTCAAAGTTTCCCAACCCACTGGAACGTTTCCAGAATTTGGGGAAGTTTTGAAAAGGCTACAACCAATGCATCCAAGATTCTAGGGTAAAGGCCATTGAGTCAAGCTATCAAGGCACATTTGAGTTCTCTCGCTTTCTCTTGCTCTCTCTGCTCCTTCCTCCAATTCTAAACATTAACTTGCAATGCTTCAATTCAGGAGATAATTCAAGTGCTGGACCACATGCTGTCCCTCAGCATTATCATCGTTGTCAAAGTCATCGGATTTTAATCCTACTCTTTCCTAGACCACATCCCTGCTCAGAAATCTCCAACAACTCCCATCCACAATATAAAAAAACAAATCATTCTAGTATGTAAAGTTCTTGCAAAGCCTTGTCCCTTGCTCCCTTTCTTTAATTCTACATACTTCCACCAAATCTGGATTTTCTCCCATCTCCATTCCTATATACTACGCTTGGAGTTAAATACTTACATAAATGACTGAGAAAAGTACCAAGACTGGGATTTGCAGCATACACACTTGCACAGCGATGGAACTTCCAACTTCCAGGCTGAGGAAACAGATCAAGATGGATGAACCCAAACTGTCACAAGGGGGTAATTGTTTTACTGAATCACATCATGTCATGTCATCCCTCCCTCTCCAAGTAACTTGCTTCCAACACCATTGTTCTCTTTTCATGAATCCTAGGAAATCTCTTCATCCCAGTTTTCATGAATGATAAAGGCAGCACTTTTTTTTTTAAAAAAATGATTGACTGTAAATTAGTTTTACTTGTGATATGGCAAGTGTTATTTTGGACTACATTTTAAATGCTGTTATGACAATAAAGAATTAGATAACAGACTGAGTAATATGCATGGCAGCACAGTAGCTTGGTGGTTAGCATTGCTGCCGCACAGCACCAAGGACCCAGGTTCAATTCCACCCTCAGGTGACTGTGTGTACATTCTCCGTGTCTGCATGGGTTTCTTCCAGGTGCTCTGGTTTCCTCCCGTTGTCCAAATACGTGCAGGTTAGCTGGATTGGCTATGCTAAAAATTATCCAGTGTCCTGGGACGTACCAGGTGGTTGGGGGAAATGCAGAGTTACAGGGATGGGGTGGGATGCTCTTCAGAGTATGGACTTGATGGGCCAAATGGCCTGATTCTACACTGTAGGGATTCTATGATTGAAGTGACAGATTACAGGCTGGTTTGGATTGTAATAATTGGTCAAACATTTTGAAGAAAAAAAACTCAATGGCTAAAAACACTTTGCAACAGTCTTATACTTTGCAGGAGAAGCTGCACATCAGATGGAAGCCTGTTCCCAGATTACTTGCCGCTTTAAACTTCTAACTAGCCTACACTTAGTCAGGAATCACTTTATCCCACTGGTTTAGTGAGCTGGGAGTAGAGTTCAAAGCAAGGAAAAATAAGATTTCTGCTCACCAACACCCCCTAACACATTTTCCATCACCTCTCACAGCATCCTCAATAGATCAGCACATGGCAGGGAGGCCAGACAACAAAAGTCAAAAGATAAGATGGACACAACATACCTGAGGCTGATATTGTTCTGCAGTGCAAACTGGATTCCATTTACAATCTCAGGAAGTTCAGGGACCATCGCTAAGACAGTTACACCAAGGAAGTACTGTTTTTATTAAAACAGAAAAAGAGGTGGTGAATAGCGAGAACAAAACAAAAAAGGTCCGATGTTAATTCTGACTTTTTCTCCCAAAAAAGATTGCAAAGAAAAAAATGTACATTGTGAAGACAATTCCAAAACCCACTTCCCTTCATATGATCTCAGATTCTACCCCATTCTATTTAACTTGGACGGAATGGAGGATTTTTCCTTAAATTTCAGTTTATTCATAAAACCACCTATTTGGCCACTCCCAGAGAAGGGATTCAATACCTTAGCTTATTCCAAGTTCAGGCACATCCTCACCTGAACTTTTCCCTAGTCTCATTATCCCTTCACTAGTCCTCTGGATTACTACTGGCCCCTTTTCCCCTTGCGGCACTCCAACAGAAAGGTTACAGAATTCCTCCTCTTTAGAATTCTCTTCTGAAACAGCAGGTGCCTTTGAAAGTACATTTGAATTTAAATGAGATACACAAAACCCAAGCAGCCAAGACACAAATATGTTTTAATTTTGAATAGTATATGAGAAGTTTGTTATGAAATCACAAGTTGCTTCAAACTGTGACTGTCATAACCCTAGTTTCACTGTACTGCCTGAAAAGATGGTGAAAGCAGATTCAAGTAACTTTCATGGTGGGAATTAAATAGGCAGTGTGAAAGATTTGCATAGGACTAAGGAGAATGTGACTAAAAGACTAATTTAGATATCTAACAGGTGTGGTGGGCCAGGTCAAACAACAGCCCTTTCATTAAGAAATGCACACTGAAACCAGAAGACAATGCAAAAATATCGTTTGACTTGTCAACTTAGTGCAGTAATGCCAGAACCAAAACAGAAGTTGCTGACAAAGCTCAGCAGGTCTGGCAGCATCTGTGAAGAAAATAAATCAGAGTTAACATTTCAAGTCCAATGAACTTTCCTCAGAATTGGCAGAACAGTGACAGAGCCAACCTGGGGCTTCCTGCTGCACATGGCTTAAATAGCTCTCACCTCATCCTATCAGTAACATCCATTAAGAGATGAGAAAAAAAACTATGATGCTATCTACTCACTGAATAGAACATGGAGACAGTAATGCACAGTGACTTACTGATGAGATTGCAGAGTTAGACAGCAAGGGGTTAATGTGCTCAGACACCAATTCTGCACAGGCAGACATGAAAACTGTAGCTACAACGAGCAGTACCACAGCTCTCCATCGTGACCAGTGAATGACAACATTGTGGCTGTGTCCTGAAACTGGAGAGGAGACATAAATTTAGTCAACACCTGAAAACATCCATTGTTATCCAATTCATCCCACTTGCTTCAACACAATCAAAAAGCCTGTTTCTGCACAATGGCCCAAATAGCCTCCTTCTGTCCATCCTATTATAACAATGTGAAGAATCAACCTCATATCTAGTTTGGCTTGATTCAGATTCTGCATTGTCAGGTTTCCATACCTTGAAAAAAGTGCTCAGGTAAATGGTAGAATTCATCTGGATCCCTTTGAACATGCAAAGGATATAAATACTGAAAAATCATGCGAGACGCACTTAAGTTAGACCATAGAAATCAAGCTCTTTAAAGTTGACAAGGAGACATTTAACAATCATTCCTCTTGGTATTTGCAAGATGACATTCAACAGTTGTAGGGGTTCTTGGGGCTCTTGGAAACAAAGGAAACCAGACTGCACAATTGGGAACCTACAATTCTACTTCTGCCTCAGAACATCCTCATCCAAGAGCCACTTCTGCATAGTGGGTTTCTGGATACTGCAAATTATCAGATTTGAATTACTAATTTGTCATGCAGGGGGTATATAAATTGGCCATTAACCTGCTACCTTTTCAACTAATCTTCAAACTAGTTTGGAGCAGGTTTGCTCACCTGGCCTGTCTTTTTAATTCTGTTAAACAGGTAACTCTGGTGACGGAGTGGCCAAGGTGGCCCAGGGATCAACTTGTGGAAAATTATTCTAGAATTGGGGGTGGGCATGACAGAGCGTGAGAGCGTGGAAACAGGTTGGCTCTGGATTACTTGCGTCAGGAAATAGTTAAGTCAGATTAAAAATGATTGGAGGCATACAGGATATTGGTCTCTTAACAGAGGCACAAAATATTCTAACAATACTACATCAGAGCAGTAAGAGAATGGAACAGTATACAAACACAATAGGTCAGACCTGAAATACTACATGCAATCTGGGTCACTGAATGGTAGGAAATATGACTGCACTTGATAGATAGTGAGAGCACAGAATGAGGGCCTGGCTTGGTCTTGACAGTTCTATTTATGTAGAAATATTGGAAAAGCTGGGTTTTTTTGGGAACAGATGCCACCAAAAGGGAACCCTAATTAACTGTATAAATTATGAATCTGGATCGAGCAGATTGAACATCCTATTGCCCTTGGTTAAGGAGGTTCATAATCTGGGGACAAACTGATTGCAGAGTGACTTAGAAGATATTCCAGAGGAAAGTATTTGAGCTATAAAAAAGGTGGTAGGATCCCAAACTCACTGCTCGGAAGGGTGATTGAGGCAGGACTCTTACCACATTTAAAAATTATTTGTTCATGCAATTATGGGCTTCACTTGACTAGGTCTGCATTCATGACTCAATCCTAATTGACCTGAAAGGTGGTGACGTGGTCTTCTTGAGCTGCTACAATTTTGTAATGCAGGGACACCCAGTGCTCTTTGGAACAGAGAGTTCCAGAAGTCACTCAAGGAATAGAGACAAAGTTTGAACATGTGGTAATATATGTAAAAGTCATTGTAGGAGAGTCTGAGATTTTTAAAAATGCAGATAAATGAGCTATTTGAATAATAACTTGCAAAAATTCTCAAAATGCAAATTCATTGTCTTCTGCTGTTTCTGAAATAGTTAGTGATTGTGGGACATTTTAAAGATGGCACCTTCCCAATCTCATCTGTCCACTACAAGGGCAAAGAACAGTTACAATCTACACATTTAATGACCTGTCCCAATCAAGTTCTGGGATGGTTGGTAATGTTGTTGCATAGGGATGCTCTTCCCATGTCGTAAACAGGTTACTTTAAAGAGATGAGCAAATAACTGAGGGGTTGGGAGAAGCTTTACTTACCATGACGGTCACTAATGTGAATATCATAGATGTGGTTGTGTGTCTTCAGTGCAAAGACAAGACCGATCACATATGATGCAGGCAGAAGTATTGACACGGTGTAGATAAGGGGCCTGCAAGAAGGATATGGCAATATTGTTCAGAGTTACAGGACGTATGATGTTAGATGATGCTTTGGTGACAATTTATACAAAGAAAGAAACGTGTAGCAAATCCCACCATTGTCACTTTCCTGTTGTAAGAGACTGCAGTAAGGAGACAACTTGCTCACACAGCATTTAAATTCATTTCATTTCTGCACTTCGTTTGTTTCCAAATGGAAATTGACAAGTCTGTGTACATAGAGTGACGCATTCAGCACATGGTTCCTCCCACCACCCAGTTGTACCAGAGAGGAATGAACAGGACCTCAAAAATGCTACTAAAAACATGTACTTACTGGACATGACTGTGAAACAAGGCATTCTGCAGCTGAAAGGGAGGGGAAATAAGAGGGGAGGGGGAGAAACAATATTAAATCAGCATGGATGCAAGACTTTCAATTCCACTTTAATACAGCTATATTGAAACAGGAACCAAAAGAACAGATTCAATTCACTTTTGATAGGTTCTTGCAGCACTGGACTATAACAGCAGAATCCTAGACCCACTGTCAGAACTACAAGGCACTTTGCCCAATGCCTCCATAATTATGCACAAGGAGTGGCAGATAGAGTTTAAATTTAAATAAATGTGCGGTTCTACATTTTGGAAAGGCAAATCAGGGCAGGACTTATACACTTAAATGGCAAGGTCCTGGAGAGCGTTGCTGAACAAAGAGACCTTGGAATTCATAGTTCCTTGAAAGTAGAGTCCCAGGTAGACAGGATAGTGAAGGCAGCATCCGATATGCTTGCCTTTACTGGTCAGTGCGTTGAATAGGAGTTGGAAGGTCACGTTGTGGCTGGAGAGGACATTTATTCGGCCACTTTTGGAGTAGTGCGTGCAATTCTGGTCTCCCTCCTATAGGGAGGGTGTTGTGAAAGTAGAAAAGGGTTCAGAAAAGATTCAAGGATGTTGCCAGGGTTGGAGAGTTTGAGCCATGGGGTGAGGCTGAATAGGCTAGGGCTATTTTCCCTGGAGCAGAGGCTGAGGGGTGACCTTATAGAGGTTATCAAATCATGAGGGGCGTGGATAGGTTAAATAGACAAAGTCTTTTCCCCAGGGTGGGGAAACCAAAACTAGGGGGCATAGGTTTAAAAAGGTGAGGGGGAAAGATATAAAATGGACCTAAGGGGCAACTTTTTCCACAGAGGGTGGTGCATGTATAGAATGAGCTGCCAGAGGAAGTGGTGGAGGCTGGTAAAATTACAACAACATTTTACAAGGCATCTGGATGGGTATAAATGAATAGGAAGGGTTGAGAGAGATATGGGTCAAATGTTGGCAAACAGGACTAGATTTATTTAGGATATCTGGTCGGCATGGACGAGTTGGACTGAAAGGTCCGTTTCCATGCTGTATATCTCTATGGCTATGACTCATCCTGGCCTAGCTTTTCTCATTTGCATGAAATGGCCAACAAGAAGGAAGATAATATATACTCCTCAAACAAAAAATAAAACAAAGGAGAGCTGGAAGCAAGGTCTTGGAGGCAAGCTGTATCAATACCTCTTAATTACACAGCTCTTAAATAATTAATACATTTCGGTAGTAAGCCAAATTTCATATTTCACATGGAGTACTTTTTGTATCCAAAAGTAGAGTGTGTAGAGATAAAAAAGGAACTGCATATGCAGTCTTGGATCTCAAAGCAAGGCATCAGCTGCAGCTCCATTCCTGCTTGAGTCAGAAGTTTCATCAAATCCCTCCAGCGCAGAGAGGAGCCATTCAGCCCTTTGAGTCTGCATCAACCCTCCAAACAGCATCCACCTAGACGCACCTTATTGCTACTACACCACGGGACGTTTAGCATGGCCAATCCACCTATCCTGCACATCTTTGGACTGTGGGAGGAAACTGGAGCACCTAGAGGAAGCCCATGCAGACACAGGGAGAATGTCTGCTTGTGTGGAGTTTGCACAGTCACCCAAGGCTGGAATTAAACCCAGGTCCCTGGTGCTAAGACAGCAGAACAAATCACTGTGCAACTACGCTGCTCTATGTGAACTTAAATTCAACTCTAGTGTCTAGAACCTGTAACTTATTTCAGTACACAGTATTGAGGAAGCACTGCATTAGGAAGTTGTCAAGGATAACTACTGATAGCCAATAGTTGCAGGCCATGCCATCCACATCACATGAATGAGAAAGATCTTTGGGATGAAACGTTGAAACAAAAAAATCCCAACTGCCCCTCTAGATGTGAAAGACCCAGTGCTAGCTGAAGCATTTCTAATGAAAATCTATTTTAGGTAAAAAAAAAAAAGGGAGACCTTCCTGTTGCCACCTTAACATTGTTACAATTCATCATCTAGACATTTTATCACCATTCTTCCTGCATAAAGACTAGCTGTTGTATTTCCAGCATTATGTTAATAATTTTTGAAGTAAAGTGGTTTGGGACAAAGGTCAAGAAAAAGTGCTTATATTTTTAAAAATGCAATCTTATTTTTCTTCCCCCATTTCTACCGCAACAGCTTTAAAACAAATTGACTCAGAGCACAGAAGATGCAGTTACTAAGTTTCCCCAAATCTAGATAACCGCAATTTAAAGTTTCTTATAGCTACATCTCTTATCCCATTGGGGCATTAATAAACTTTAATTACTGACTTAAAATAGCTTGTGCATATCATGCACAGATCACCACAAAGCCACAGCCATATAAAACACTGCTACAAGAGCAGGTCAGAGGCAGAGGCAGAGAATCCTATGGCAATTCACTCACTTCCTCTCCCTAAAGCTTGACCAAAAGGCACAAATTGGAGCAAGATGGAATACTCCCCACTTGCCTGGATGAGCGCAGCTCCAACACCACAAGCAGTTGACACATCCAGAACAAAGCAACCCATTTGATTGGCACCATATCCACAAACATCCACTCCCTTTACCATTAGTGCACGGTGCTGTGACTGAGCATTATCTACAAGATGCGCTACAGAAATTCACCCACAATTCTACAACAGCACTTTCCAAAACCTACGATTACTATCGTCTAGAAGGACAAGGGCAGCAAATACCTGGATCACCATCACCTGCAAATTTACCCTCCAAGCGACTCACCATGCTGACTTGGAAATATGTGGCTGTTTCTTCAGTATCACTGCGTCAAAATCCAGGAATTCCCTGATTAATGGTATTGCGGGTGTACTCACAGCACATGGACTGCAGCAGGTCAAGGCAACAGCTCACCATCACCTTCTCGGGGGCAGCTGGGGATGGGCAATAAATGCTGGCCCAGCCAGTGACACCCATGCCCGAATATGGGAAAATAAACTATAGAAAGCTGTATTTCGATAGTCTATGCCCAGGATCAATATTTACTGCACCCACACTAGTAACACTGACAAGTCAGGATCATTTCTGCAATTCAGCAATTCTGATCTCCCTGCTATAGGAGCGATGTTGTGAAACTTGAAAGGTTCAGAAAAAATATTGCCGAGGTTGGAGGATTTGAGCTATAGAGAAGAGGCGGAACAGGCTGGGCTATTTTCCTTGGAGCAACGGAGGCTGAGGGATGACCTTATAGAGGCTTATAAAAACCATGAGGGGCATCGATAGGGTGAACAGCCAACATCTTTTCCCTGGGGTGGTGAGTCCATAACTAGAGGGACAGAGGTTTAAGGTTAGTGGGGTAGAGATTTGAAAGGGACCCAAGGGGCAACTTTTTCATGCAGAGCTCAGTGTGTGTATGGAACGAGCTGCCAGAGGAAGTGGCGGAGGTTGGGACAATTACAACATTTGAAAGGCATCTGGATGGGTATATATGAGTAGGAGGGGTTGAGGGATATGGGCCAAATGCTGGCAAATGGGAATAGATTAATTTAGGATATCTGGTCAGCATGGGCAAGTTGGTACAAAGGCTGTTTCCATGCTGTACAGCTCTGACTATTAGGAGTCTGCAGCAACAGGACAACAGTTAGCAAGAATTCGGAAGTACACTATGAAACAATAAATGTGTTTAACTGGCTATAACACTGGAGTATTTTAGTATTAAAACAAGTTCACCCAGAGAAAAAAAAAAAAGGATAAGATTTGAGGTTTGAAGTGACCATAGTATGAAGTTGTCAGTTCAGAAAGTTTAAGGTAGCCTGAAATCGCCTTGAAGGTGGTGTTCCTTCTCTAGGTAAATGGACTATGAAGTACGTAGACCCCTTAAAACAAAATTACCATTGATCTGCCCATCCAAGGGGTGACTGCTGATCCCTGGTACTGGGCATCACAGCAGGTGGAGTAGAACGATCATTTCCTTCAGTACCTGACCCAAGTGCTTGGTCATCCAGCTAGGCTGAGGCACTGTCCAACCAGCACAGCCAATAGATCAAAGATCAGGAGCAGCAGACACTGGCTAATACTGCACCTCAAATCATAACCTCCAACTGGGCCAGGCCACTTGGATTCTAGATAGTTTGTACAGTTCAGTTCATTTGCGTAAAATGAAATGGGTTTCACGTGAAGCTTTTAATGAAAAAAAGTTAATCCATACCCCATTGAAGTGACAGTCACTGCACTCAAAGGGACCAGATCCATTCTGTGTTGAGTTAGTGCAACCTTGACATATTAGGCTTCCATAGGCTTTGGAAAAGAGCGTTGGTGCAAACACACCTACAAGAAAAAAGGAACAAGGCTGATCTACAAATGTGAAAATCTGTTGTGTTAGGCATTGAACAGCAGCACAGGTTTGTAAGTGAGGCAATAAGTGACGTAGAGACGTAGGTGCTCCTTTGCTTTCTCTAACTTCTCTACCCTGTAGAAATTGGTTGTTGCTGCTCTACAGGTGAAGCTAGCTAAATTGGAGAGCGAGTATCCAAAAAGCAGCTAGAGTTTATTCTATTGGAGGTTTAAAACAGTACAGGAGCTTGTGGCAAAGTTACAAGGGTTATTTCTGATTTTATTGAGTAGTGAATTAATACACATCAAGGATGGCAGGGAAAGTGATTAGTCACAGCTGGAACACAGGGTTTCCTGGACACCAGCGTGATCCTGAAAAAACACACATTCAAGTGCTGTCAGCTCAGAGTAACTGACTAGGGCACTGAGCTACAGAAGGTGCAACACAGTAGGGAGGGGGAAAATTACTTGCACATTTTGTACCAGGAGGCCATCACATCCCCTAGTATAGGATCTTCTGATTTGATCAGTGTTTAAGGACAGGAAAATACAGCAACAGTTTAAATAAGGAAAGGAACCCAAAGGGCAAGAGAGCTGAGCCTTAAAAATTGTCCAACAGGTTTGACCTGCTTTCAGCTTGCTCAGATTAAAGAAAGACTGATAGTTAATAAACAAAGTAATCAAGGTACTTACATACAGGAATGCATTTAAGAGAGGGTGAAACAAATGAAATGAATGTAGTGGTAGGAAGCAACAGTACAGTGAGATGGATTGACTGCAAAAAAAGTCCAGGTGTATCTGTTGCCCACTCAGGACATCTGTTCAGCACTAGAGAAGGGCTTGCAGTGGGATGGGAGGAGCCACTAATTATGGCCCATGCATATATCAACAACATAGACAGGGCAATGAAAGAGGTTCTCCATTTTCAGTATGAAAAAGGTATGCATTCAATTAAGCAGAAGTTCAGATTATTACCTGACCTAAATGCAAACAGGAGAGAGGAATGAATGCATGGCTGAAAGACTGGTGCAGTAGAAGTGGACTTTGGTTCATGGCGTTCTGGCATCAGTTGGGGTAAGTGGGGGCTGGATCTAGGTGCAGGTGTAAAGCATCTGATGCAGGAGCCATGTTCTAACAAGCAATTAATGACAGAAGTCAACGGAGTTTTAAACCAAAACTAGAAGGCTACAAACTGAAAACCACAGAAGGAAGACAAAAGGCTCTGAATCTGAATGCATGTAGCAAAAAGAAACAAATAGCACAAGAATAGGTATGATCTATATCCATTATCTAGACATGGCTGTGGAATGACAGATTGGGATCTGAACGCTGAAAAGGTGTCACTTCGGAAATGCATTGTTGAGCAGAGGGAGACTCCTGCAGCATTTATCCTCTGGAATTTTTGTATAAAGCATTTGGCATTTGTACCTCATCACCTACCTCCCACTGATATGAACAGCAATGCTGAACTAACACCAGCTGATCGACTATTGAACATCTGCTCCTGATGCTTGCATCCTCCAATCACCATGGATATACCCTAGTTAACAAAACATCAAGATCAGAAACTGATGAGCTATAAATTGCACAATAATTACATGGAATGACAACACATTCATTTCTGGAATTTATTTTTAATCTGGGCAGATGCACAAGATTCCCCCACTGTTTGGTGAAGAATCATTCAGTTCATGGTCCACATGTACTTCAAGTACACAGTGTCAACACCCTCCCTTAAAGTCTCAAGGCTCCAGGATTACATCCTACTATAGTCTTGGGAACAAACAAAAAGACATGCTGAAACTCCTATGCACTACAGAGGAAGTGTTATGCTTTTGCAAGTACTGTCCTTCAGACATGACAATAAACCAAGTTTTCAGCAAGAGACACATTCTGGCTCACTAAGAGCGAGCTGCCAAAATGCCAACTTACCGGGATAAAGAGGACACATCCCAACAAGGTACCAGTCAGAGCACTTTTCACGACTTCTTCGTAGCATTTGTTTCCCTTATGGCTGCCTTTGATCAGGGCAGTTATGTAGAAGGTCAACTCAGTGATTGAACCAAACGTGGCATTCACCACTGCACCTACTGCAAAGTTACTCTGAGCTGAAATACTGAAGACAGAAGAATGACTTTAAAAATTGGTACATATGCCAGAGAATTTTGAACAGGAATATGACCAAAAACTTTTTCAGCCAATTTAAGCCCAGAACCAGTTACTGTATATAAGATTACAAAAAAAAAAAACGAAATGATTCAGTATTTGTTTGCATACGGGATCTTGGGGTACACCAAGATAGATATGATACAGCTAGGAGTGAAAGCCAAGAATTTGAGCAAAAACAGTAGAATCCATTTGTTACACAAAGTAGTGGTATAACATTCTAAATGTTCTAAATCAAGAATCAACATGGTTTTATGAAAAGGAGATTATATTTGACAAGTTATCACTTCAAGGGCGTAAAAAGCAGATAAAAAAATAGATCTAGTGTATTTGGATTTCCAAAACAAAAAAAAAAATCATTAAGTGTCTCAGAAAGGCTGTCACAAGAGCTCATAGTATTGGAGTTGGTAGCCAATTCTCTCTCCGCTTATGAAACAGGAAACAAAGTCCGGATAAATGGATCACTTTTAAGATTGGCAAATTGCAATGAGGAATATCACAGGACTCAGTGCTGAACCCTCAAATACTTAACTCTATATTAGTAACTTATGAAGTGACTGTATTGTAGCCAGATTTCATGTGAAGATAGATAAGAAACCAAGTTTAAAGGAGAATGCCTTCTGTAAGGGGATAATTAGATAGGCTAAATGGAGTGAACAAAAACAAAAAAAAAAAAAATTGGCTTTTTGAATACTTAGTATAGGATCATACAAAATTGTCCACTTTGGCAGGAAGAATAAAAAAAGCAGCATAACATTTAAACAGTGACAGAATGCTACTGTACAGGTGTACAAGGAGACCCTTATCAATGGATCAAAGTCAGCATGCTACTACAGCAAATAATTAGAAAGGCAAATGGAATGGGAGTCTTTCTTGCAAAAGAAATGTTTAAAAGTAAGGGAGCCTTGCTACAACTGTACTGAGGCATTGGTGAGACCACCCCTAGATTACAGCACACTTTTAGTCTCCTTAAAAAGATGGTTATACTTGCATGGAGTTAGTTCAGAGGAGGTTTATTAGGTTAATTCCCAAAACAAAAAGTCATCAGCACATGGAGGAAAGGTTGCATTTACATGCTTCAGAACAGGAGTCAATCTTACTGAATAAGATTAGAGGGGATTTGATGTCGTAGTTGCTGACAGAATGTTTCCTTTCACGGAGGCGCATTTTATTGCTAAACAGGTGTTCCATTTAAGAGACAGACGAGGAAAGATTTCTTCTGAGGACTGTTAATCTTTGGAGTTCTTTTGCCCAGGAAACACTGAAGTCTGGAATCAGGACTAGTCAAGGTTGAGTCAGATTGATGAGAGAGTCAAGGGATACATGAGGCAGACAAGAAAGTGGAGTAAGGACAGAATCAGATCAGCCATGAGGAGATTGAAATGGTGGAGCAGGTGCAATATGGACCTACACCTGTTTCCATTCATGGTATTTTGGAAATGTCACAGCTTGAATTTTCACAAAATTAAACAAGCTAGCAGAAGAGAAACTAATCAAGACAGTGTGGGGGCAGGGGTTGGTGCGTGGAATGGTGGGTATACGTTCCAAACAGTTGTGCTGGAGTGAATTTAGGCATGTCAACACTGCCCTAGCACAGGTGTGGGAATCTGCAGTTTACAGTTTTACACCTGATCATAGCATTGTAATGCCAGAGGGAGCAATACAAATTCAAATAGAAGCTTTAAGAGTAAAATTAGATGTATACTTGAAAATTGCAGTCATGCAAGAAAAGATTCAGGGAGTGGGACTTCAAAAAAAGGAGTTGGCACCGGCTCAATATGTCAAAGAACTGCTTATCTGTGCTGCAACGAGATTTTATGCTATGGGAGGCAAAGCTGACAGGTGTAAGTGCTGATGAAAGCATCACTACTACTCCCACATCACCACAAGTGATGATTTCATTTCATACAACTTATTTATTTATGGAAAGCAGTTTTCATTGTCATGCTCAAAATCCAGAAGTGCTCATCTTAGGTGGACACTATTCTTGAAGTGAGCACAAACTTCTCAAAAAGACACAGGTTCCATATGACACTAAAGTAAAGTCTTAACGTCCTAATTTGCGTTAAAGCAAGAATGTGCTGCTAGCAGATCCATGGAATTGAATAAGGAGAATCTTAGGAACCCTACATTTAGGGCATAACATTCATCAGTGTAACAAAATGGAATTCGGCCCCAACTGTGCATTCTACTTGACAATGTTTAACACTGAAACCAGTGAGCTTTGCAACAGATTAAAATTTCAGATCAAAGAGGAAACCACTTACACCACATGACAGGACAGACAGAAACCAAAAAAGAGACACATCTTAAACCAGATCACCAAAAACAAAAAGGCTTCCTGCGTTCCCTCTTACCTCCAACCTTTAAAAGGTGAGCAACAAGCAAAATTTCAGAATCAGAAAAAGCCACTTTACATTCTCTGGAATATATAAATTGCATCAGTATTTATTCTTCATGGCTGAGGGAAAGAGGTTTTGCTTTTGACTGGATAAACATTGAAAGATACTATTAAGACAAAAAAGGAAGTAGCAGTGGTACAGCACATTCTCAAGGGGAAAATAAATTTATTGGTAACTCTGAGGAAGAAACAAGTTTACCTCTGAAGATTAAAGGTAGTGTACAAATGTATATTGAAAGCTAATAAAAGTGTTCTCATATCTATTTTTGTGCAGCACTCAATTGTTCGTTCCATTCAAGCATTTGCCTCCTACGTTATTCTAAAACAAATCTCCAAAAGCTCAAGGAGCAGCACCTCATTCTTCAATTAGATACTCTTCAAATTTTCAAACTAACAGTACCACAATGTTAAAACCCATCAGCTGCTGGGGAGGATTGTTGCCATTTACAACTCCTCTACTTCATTTTTGTATTTGGAAATAGCAGTTACAACATTGGGTTCAAGATAAAGACCACAAAGCAAAGATCAAAGTTAGTGGTTGATTCAGAGGCAGGAATGAACTAGGGGAATTAAATTGAGAACTTTTTAAAAAAGTGGAAACAGAACAAGTAACATGAAAATTGTGATTAGACACCACTTTACAAAATTAAAAACAAGGAAAACTAATTACAAAACATATTCGACATAGACGGAGGCAAAAAAAGGGAAGTATGAAAAAGGTGAAGATAAAGAAAATTCAGAAGGCAAAGAGAAATTAAAACGTGGTATTAGTAAATCCTAAAATCATGCTGAATGCTTGATAGCATGGAGGGGAAACTGTATTTGTTACATTGATGAACCTAAAACACTTTGCTAAAGTGTGGAACCAATAAAAATTTCCAAAAAGGCATCTGATCAGAAAGAACATATACCCCCCAAAAAAAAAAAAAGACAAAATACTGCTTAATAGCACATGCACTGGTCTTATTTGCATGCATAGAGGATTACCCAACAAAAACAGGAAATCCGGTTAAGTGAGTCACTTTCAGGTTGACAAACTGTAACTACAAGGGTGCCAAAGGCTTTTGCGCTGGAGCTTCAGCCATTTATAAAATCTAACCTATATTAAATTTGGATTAGACACCAAGTATATTGTAGCCAACTCTGATGATGATACAAAAATAGGCAGGAAAGCAAGTTTGAGGATAGAGTCTACAAAGTGACAGACAAGTTGAAAACAAATCTGGCAAAGTGGGAAAGGGGGAGAAAATGTGATCTTGCCCAATTTGACAGGAAAAGTGCACGATGTTGGAGTACCAGGTGCTCGGAGAAATTCAATTATACTTTATGTATTGGCTGGCATGCTGTAATCATGTGACCCCCACCCCTGCTGTAAATGCTTTTGTGCAGCCTGATACCCAAGCCGACAGGAACGGTGCAGCTGAAAATGTGCACATTTACAGAGCTGTGAAAGAGCTGGATACTTAAAAAAGCAACAAGGAATTTTTAAACAAAAGCAGTCTGCAATGTTGAAACACGGAGTCAAAAGACGGTTGAATGTTCCATGCCCTACTGTGAAAATGAAAACAATATAATTAGAGTTGTTTTACCCCCTCCACCCATGCAAAAACTATGAGCAAACAGAATCAAGTTTAAAAACCCTCAACAGGGTTCCAACATGTGTATTATCAATACTTCATTTTTGGTTGGGGGAGGAGGGACACACAAAAGAAACTATTGATATGTATGTGAACATACCAGGTGTGCGTTTGGATGAAGGAGTGAGAAGGAGAGCTGAGGAAGATCAGAGATGGGACATCTTAGGCATAAGAGATTCTGCCATGACAACTGTATATAGGAGGATGGGGAGGTGATGGCTTCACGGTATTAACTGGACTGTTAATCCAGAGCCCCAGATAACATTCTGGGGACCTGGGTGCGAATCTCACCACGGCAGATAGTGGAATTTGAATTCAATAAAAATAACTGGAATTAAGAATCTAATAACCATGAATCCATTGTCAATTGTCAGAAAAACCCATCTGGTTCACTAGTGTCCTTTAGTGAAGGAAACTGCCATTCTTATTTGGTCTGGCCTACATATGACTCCAGACCCACAGCAATGTGACTTACTCTTAATTGCCCAGAAGGAAATCAGAACATGGGCAATAAATGCTGCCTAGCCAGCAATTCCCTCATCCAGTGAATGAGGAAAGAATAAAGAACTTGCTCTCAAGAAAGTTACTGTCCTAGGCCCAGCCATCTTCAGCTGCTTCGTGACCTTTCTCCATCACAAGGTCAGAATGGGGGGTGCTCACAAGTGCACAAATGTTCATCACTATTCACGCTCCCGAGATACTGACACATTCAGCAGCCTCAAGCATGAAGACCTGATCATCTCCAAGCTGATAAGTGGCAAGTAAAAGTTTGTGCCATACAAAAGCAGGTTAAAGACTGGAATTTCTGTGATAAGTAACACCAATTATCCCCTAGTGACTATCCACTTTCTACCAGCCTCAAATCAAGAGTATGATGCAACACTCCCTGCTTGCCCGAATGAGTTCAGCTCCAAATGACACAAAAAGGCTTAACAGCATCAAGGCAAAGCAGTATGTTTGATTAGTACACTATCAACCACCAACACACATCACTGTGTACCATCTATAACATGCACTGCAGAAATTCACCAAGATGGCAAAAATACTAAAATTACTTTATCTTAGAACTTTCCAACATGGCAGACATGACATTAGATGAGACTGACATTTCAGATTGAAAAGGATCGAGAGATAATAGAAAAAAAAAGGTCTGGTAAACAGCTAGTGAGATTCCTCCATTTTCAAGTGATAGAACATGTTAATTAAACTATAGGTTGCTGGACAATGTCACTAGTGGAAGAGATTATGGAATCCTGAGACAGATCATAAAAATCCAAAAACTGAAAATAAAAAAGGTACCACAGATTCCCAAAACAGCAAGTCATGCTCAACAATTCTATTGAAAGTTAGAAAAAGGTAGACAAGCATAATAGTAATATAGGTTTTCATAAGGCCTATGACATGTTAGCAGGACCAAAAGGATGGCCAAAAACATGGAGATTTAGCAAATAGACAGCAAGCTGACAACAAAATTGACTGTAGGAATCAACAAAACCATTTGCAATCCAAGTAACTGCTGAAAATTGGTGCTGGAATCAGTTGTTCACTATTTACATAAAAAAGCTGAACTCAAATACTTTAAACAATTTGCAAGTTATTCCAAATTGCATGGTGGTGTTTGCAATCAATATGGAGGTCCATTGAAGATAAAGAATTAATTAACTGGCAGAGTAAACCAGGAAGTCCTTCAAACCTGCTCCATCCTTCAATAAGGTCATGGCTGAAGTGCTTATATTCCTAACTTCATATTCCTGTCCACCCTGATCACGAATCTATTCACCTTTGCATTAAATATTTACAACCCCCACATTTCAACATCCTTTGGAGGTAGAGGCTCAGAAAAGTGCTCAAAGAAAAAAATTTCAGTCTGGGAAAGGGCAAATCCAAATTCTGGACTCACCCACAAGGGTAAACATCATTTCCACATCCATGTCAAGACTATTTGAGATCTTATACACTTCAATCAAAGCACTCAACACTTCCAAAACTCTAGCAAGAACAGCACAGCATGTATAGTCTTTCCTCAAAAGACATGGCACCAGCAGATCCCTACTAAGTGGCCCAAGTTGTAACCAGTCAGAGGGCATCACAGTAAAACAAACTGATCCTTACCTTATTCACATTCTTTTCAGCAGGGATAACTGATCAGAATGCGGGTTACTTGTATTAAAAAAAGTCCAAGAATCCACTATGCACTCCTACAGCAAATGTGCTGATCAGAACACCCAATTCTTAAGTCATCACATGCCCAATAGTGCCAGGTCTGAAGCAAGTAATTTTCAGATATGTCTGTCAGCTAATCTGATTGCACAATCCATGATGGCTCTTTGAAGTTAGGTCAAGACCCAGACAGTGAAATTTATTCACAAGATGCAGATGGGGTAATTAGTATGATGCATTTAAAAAAGCAAGTTAGACAAGTCTATGAGCAAAATAAAATGTACTGATTTGGTTAGATGAAGTTGGGTGGGAAAAGACTCCTGTGGATAAAATCAGTTGAGAACAGTGGATAAAACCAAATGACCTGCCAGAACTGTTCTGCATGTAAAACAAAGTTCAACTTACCTGGCAATTGCCATCCCGATGTAGTGGGACAGAGGAACTATAGCTATGACAGATAGTGCAAATTTCACAAATGAGCTGGCGTAGCGATTCTCTGTATCTCCGTAACCCAACACCAGAGCAACTATTACTAGAGGTAGCAGATCTGAAGAATCAGTTAAAGAAATAATCATAACAGGAAACCCAAGTCAGCAATAAAAATGATTGTAGAAGGATATAGCACTGACCAAATGCTCCTCTTCCTACCTACATCTTACCTCCCACCAGTCACAAGATACAAGGCTCAAAACATTGTAAGTATTACAGCATTAACCTAGAGGATGAAGATTGAAAGTGTTATTTGAAGTTTAAATGTTCAGTTGGGATGACCAGAAAAGGCAGGGGTGGGGGCTTCTCACTGTTTTACACTTGCTTGGAAACAAGTTACAGATATGGTTAATTGTACTTACTGTGGCTTTTCATTAGTCACACGAGTATTGAGTTCACAAGGCAAGTATGTGGATTTTAACCATTTTGTGCATTTCTCAATAATGATTAAACACTAATCATTGATTCAATCAAACAGTTAAAGCAGTAAACAATGGTAATAAATGTTTACTTAGCAAATATTTTTGAAGTATACGGTGTACACAAGGTCTTTAAAAATCAAACAAATAGCTCAACAGTGGCAACTCAACTTCACTCATGGCAAGTCAGCAACTTGTACTCAATTTCCACTGATAGAGACTCAGACTTTGTGCATCTGTAGACCACTATTAAGTAGAAAGGCAGTGGTTTTATATATAGCATTGATTTTTAACTTCTAATTAGCAGAGACATTTTCTGGAGAAAAATTAATTTGTACTTCTTTTGCCCCTTTAAAACTGAGTCACAAGCCATTTGAAAACATCTCAGATGGATAAGAGTCCAAAATCTTTGGGGAACAAGAAAACAAAATAAAGAGCTAGGAACAGGATAATTCAACAGGAGGTTGGATGTGTCAGCAAATAATAAAAAAAATTTAGTGTAACAAGAGGCAATAACAACTCTGCCTGCTATTTTTTAGTCATAATTGCCAGCACTGAACCAAAGGATACTCACAGCAAATACATTAATGCCAACCACAGTATATTTGTAATAGTAGAAATTCATAGCATGGTAACAACAGAGGACCACTTCTCCATCCAGTGGAACTTCAGTCTGGGGGCAAGGTTGGAGGCAGAAGCAGCAAAATTAGTTTGCATAAATTCTTATGTAAGACATTAAGATTTTATGAAATGCAAGCCCTATTTCTTGGGCAAATGTAATGTTTCCATGCATTCTGCTTTTAAAATGTCTAATTTTACAGAAAACTATATCCAACTTTTGAAAAAAGAATCTTGATGGAAGAGTTGAAGTTTTATCAATGTCAGACAGTCATTTCTCAAATCTAACAGTTCCAGCCAGTTACATATCATTTCTGCTATGGTACAGGCATGGAAAGGGGGTTACATATACAATTGGTACAACCACTGGATAGATTCATGCAAAAACAAGATTCTCATGCAGCACTAGAATCTCATCAACAGCTCAAAAAGATTGTCAGGATCAGTGGAAATCCTGGGTGGTTTCTGCAAGGCTCAAGTTCACAAATAAATGTACAAAACCGACTCTGGCATTTGCAAATCCTGTGCCGTATCTGGTTAAACAGGCAGCTTGGTAACACACTGAACAATAATACCACAATGTTAGATTACAATGAAATTAACCATGTCACAAAGCTAGCAGCAGATGACTAACCTAGGGATAGTAGCAAGGCATGCATCCCAAAATCTGTAGTTAATGGGGTCAGAAATAATCCATGACCTAATTTTATATAGGTATCTTTTCCCTATATCCCTTAATACAATTGAATAAAAAACTAATCAACTCCAGCTTTAAAACTAAACTGACCTAGCATCACAAGAGTGTTCCAAAATCTACACAATCCTTTGAACACAAATTGAAAAAAGTCCAATTCTAACTTTTAGACTTTAATCTAGTTTTACACTCCCTCAAGACAATAGTTTCTCTGCATCTATCCAATCTGTTTCCCTCAAGTTTCAAACTCCAATCCAATCACCTTTTAACCTTTTGAAGTGACAGAACAAAAATCATAGTTTGTGTACTTTCCCCTCAATTAACCCTTTCAGTACAATTACAATGCATTTTTCGATACAGCATTCTTAAGGCTAGTATATCCCTTCCTAGTGTGGTGCCCAGAACTGTTCTCAATACTCCAGGTATGGTTTAACTGTTACTCTTTATAGCCAAAGGACTACTTTAGCCCCAGTTATACCTTAACTGCCTTCTCCATAAAATGGAAGATTTACAGTGACATTGAAGTGTTTACTCTTCGCAAAGAGAAGATGCACACCATAAAATGTCATTCACAGCCAAAAGTAGCACATGGAATGAACTATTAATTTGAAAAAAAAAAACCAAAAAGTAAGTTTTCCCCACACTTAGCCCATTGTGGATACCAACAGGTGGTTTAAAAAAATCCTTCAGTATGGCAAAGTGTAAGAGTGCATCCAACAGTCTCTTCCAAATTGCAGTTTGAAATTCATATGCAACTCAACAGGACAAACCACACATTACTAGAATATTCCTTACCCTCTTCTGCTGTCTGATCTGCAGCTGCTCAGGAGGGATGAGTAGAATAACAGCAATAGCTCTGCCATTTAGCTTGGCTACCGGAATGGTGATAACCAAGATCCAGGCAATGAAGGAAGCCAGACCATGAGCAAGCACAAGAGGTGGATACCCCAGGAGAAACCACACATAGGTGCTAGGACGATGCTGGAAAGTAGATTGAAACAAGTTAATTCTCAAAAATTAATTCTCAAGTGGAAACACTGGATCCAAAAAAAAAAAAAAAAAAACTACAACTCAGGATCTTGTAAACATCCAGTAGTTGAGCAGCATCCTTGAAGTTAACATTTCATGTCACTGCCCTTTTGTCAAATTGACTATTTCCGATTTCTTGTTTTTACTTTAGGTATTCAGTACCCACAGTATTTTGCGTTGATGTTTGATTCACTAACTTCTCCTCCAGGAATGCATACCTTGAAGGGTTCTAATTATTCTCAGTGAAAGTGCAAGTATTTCAGGTTGGTGCCCAATGTAATTCTCAAAGCCAATTTCAGAAAGATCTGCTAATTTGAACAAGAAGTTTTGACATGAGAAAAAAAAAAGTACCACACAAGGAAAGCTCAAAAATCAGACTTGTACTTTAAAATCAACAGGAGATGAAAACAAAAAAGAGCAGTGGGATTAGTTACTCCAAATGCCACTATGTTTCAATTACTGACCAAGGCCACCTATTTAAATTTCACTCTGGATGACATCTGAAGCATCATCACTTAGCAAAGGGAAGTCTTCAGAGTCACTAAAACAAATATTCTGCAAATCTAACACAATGTTATCATATAGTAACATAGGAAGCACATTATCATTTGAGTGATAATTACAGTAACACGCATCCAGAGATTTGAACACCGCTTGTTCTGTGGCATCAGCTGAGCCAGGTTTCAAACATGTTAAGGATGCAGATGGAATGACAGCTGCTGTTAACAAAAACCATCAACACAGGAATATCAAGCAACACAAAGTGCTCATTTAGGAGAGAGCAGCAAGCAGTCTGCCTTGTAAACAAGCAAGCACAAATCATTGATCATTCAGACAGAGAATGTAGTATTAGAGATATGAAGTCCCTGCAGTTGCTAAAACGCAGAATTTCTCCAAACCTCATGATGCAACTGACTGTCCTTCAGCTTATCAACGTTCCAAAACACAACAGGCTGAAATGTACTTCTTTGGAAAGTCAAACATAGCCCAGCTTTCCTCAACTGTCAAGAATGAAGTACCTGCTTGAAGTACCAGATCGGTGTCCAATCCTAACAGCCCACCTTTAGGATTCAAGTATCTTGTACGACTTGACCTTCTCTTCTTCCATTATTTCATTTCTACATTTTCTATGTTGAATTAGCACTTACCCCTTACAGCAACATCCTCCCCAGAGTGTAATTAAAAAAAGAAATTGACAGTTCTCTTGTCTTGAAAAAGCTAAGGAATTTGTAAACAGCTAGTTTTCTGAAGAAGGGTCTAGACCCGAAACGTCAGCTTTCCTGCTCCCCTGATGCTGCTTGGCCTGCTGTGTTCATCCAGCTCTACACCTTGTTATCTCAGATTCTCCAGATGCTGGAGTTCCTACTATCTCTAACGTACCCAGTACTTGACTTCAGTAGAGGTAGAGGCAGAGGTAGAGGTAGAGGTAGTGTGTAACGAAGCATCACCAATCCTTTCTGTAACACCAAGAAGGCTGGTTGTCTCCACTGCAGTCGCTTCAGGAACTTCCTCACCATAAAGTCGAACACTGCTTTTCCTGGGATACAAGTACGGCTGGAAAGACACAGTATATTCAGAAATCATTTAGGTACTATACTTAAACAAAAGTGCAATAGATACACAAAAATTCAAAGCAGAGAACTTCTGATAGTATCATAGCCTTCATTTATTGTTTGCTAGTATCTACAACATATTGCTCATGTGGAGGTGCCGGTGTTGGACTGGGGCAGACAAGGCCAGAAGTCACATGTGACTTCTGATCATGTATTGTTTATGCCACAAGAACTCACTATTTTGAGAAATTATGGATACCATCTAAGAAATTAAGAGCTACAGGTGCAAAAGAACAAAGTTCAAGGATAAGAAATTCATTGTCCTAAAGCTCTGGTACTATTCCAACCTGCAAAGACAACAGCACAGTAGCCAATACTTTCCCACTGTTCAAGAAATCTTGATAGGATTTTGAAAAAGTAGTTTTTGATGCAATATTTGGTTTCAACTCACTGACATTTGATGCTTTATATCCTGGCTGTATAAAAAGTTATTCAAATCTTTGTGTAGATAGCAACAAATATGGATGTGAATCATCAGTTCACCCCCTCCAACACATGCAAGTCTTATAAAATGTTAGTTTTGCACGGTTGTTAATTTATACTTTGACCTATGTACTGTGAAATTTTACAATGCCTGCCAACTTGCATTGAACTGCAGTACAAGTCCATGTTGTTGATTAGTCTCACCACTGAAGTTTAATATTCACTGGTCCTTTTTCTGGATCTCCCTGTGCTAATTCGATTGTCTTTTTCACTGTGTATTTGTTACAGTCACTTAATGTAATTTTTTGAAAAATGTGCTGAAAATGAAAGTCAAAGAATGAGTATTCAGCTTACAGCTGGCATATTTTGTATGGATAAATTCAGTTTGCAAGAGGCATCTTTGTGCTTTCAAATTACAATCTCATTTAGCCTTGAAATCTAAATAGAGAATCCTTAGTTGTGTGCTTCAATGTTCCAAGAGTTTAAAAGGAAGAAGGATTGCTTAACTAGGCTCGTCAAATTTAGTTTAGTTCAATTTAAAAAAGGTACCAAAACATGCCAAGAAGAAGTTAAACCTGCAGCCCACATCTAGAAAAGGTGAAAGGCAATTCATTATGCTAGAAGTGGTTCCTTGCATCTGTTGGTGCATTACTGTTTGAACTCTAAAAACTTATTTCTACAGAATTAGAAATGTTGTCAGTCTTAAGTTTCATACAGCACTGAAATATATTTATTTTACTAGAGTGACAGCAAACCATGGTTTATTCATTACTACAATTATAGTCAATAAAGGATATTGTTAATTTTACATTGTGAAGTTGAGGAGATTATAGAACAGCTAGCATGTATGGGAATAAAAATACACCAGTTGGTAGCCTGGTGGTCACACTACAGATGGTGCTGAGAATATTCTGCATCCAGCAACAGGTTAATCTCTCTCTCTCTCAAGAAGCAGACGTCACCTACAAGTGGCTATAGCAGCCTTGGGCTAGCTCAGGACTGCCATTCAACCATTCGGGTTTCATCGAGTCAGTGAGTGGAGTGTACAACCAGGTAGAAATCTACTGGTATCTAGTACCTACATTCTAGACTTAGAAGAGAGCCAATGTGAAATTTAGAATAAAATGCATTGTCATCGTCATCGTCATCATGATTTGAGGTCAAAAACAATGAACCTAACACCTGAACCACATGCCTTTAAGAATCAACTCATTACATTCTGGTGAAAAAAGGACCTTCTCAAAAATCAGCTACTACACTCTGAAACCAATCTTACAGCTTTCAAGTTTTGAATGTTGTAAGCAAGTATTCACCAATGTGCTTACACCATAGTCATAGGGCAATAGTTACTGCACTTACTTTTTGAATCACCTTCCCAAATGGCCAGAAGTAATAACCAGCAAGACTGCAGCACAGCTTCCCTGTCAAAAGAAATGAGGAGACCTTCATTTTAAAATAAAACTTTAAATTTAATGTTCCGTCTTTCCCTTCCCTCCAAAGAGGGAGTAAAAACATCCACAGAATGAGGATAAACAACAAAACAAGTGAAACTCTAATCTCTGAGAACAAGAATGTAAAAAAAAAAAAAAAAAAAAAAACAAAAAAAAGTTTCCCTTTGCCAATTTAAAACTGATATTGAGAAGCCAACAATTCCAACAGGAGCAAGAACAGAAATTGCTGGAAAAGCTTGGCAGTTCAGAAGGGTCCCTCGACCCAAAATGTTAACCCTGCTTTCTCCACACAGATACTGCCAGATCTGCTGAACTTTTCCTGCATTTCCTGATTTACAGCAGCTGCAGTTCTTTTGGTTTTCAAGAAAAGAGGAATTGGATTTTTGGGTAGGGAGTTAGACAAAAACTACAAAATCAAGGTTGAAGTTACCAAGAGTTGGAGTAAGGAAGGAAAAATAAGTTTTCCCTTTCATATAGCAAGGTCCAAACAACACTTATCTGCATGTCTTTTGATCAAGCATACTTAGCTGCAAACAAGGCTAAACATGATTGAATTAAAACCTGAAGATAGTACAACAGGTCCTATCAAGTCAGTTAGGAGGCCAGAGGGTGCATGTATTATTTCCGAGTGACTGACATCCAATTTACAACAAGGGAGATATAGTAGAACAAAGTTCAAGTCACATTCAATTATGGATTAAAAATTAGGTCAAAGAATTCTAGGGGAAAACCCATGAAAGAGGAGCAGCTGATTGAGGAGCATAACACCATAATAGGAATAGAAGAAGCAGTAAACATTTAAAACAAAAAGAAAAAAGGAACCACTAAACATTAGAGTCCCCAGGGGACTCAAAAAGGAACAAAACCTTTTTGCTCCATTTAAAAAAAAACACACCACTAAACAGAGCTGCAGACAGAAGAAGGGTTAAATCTTCTAACTTAGATAAAAGGGAATAACCACATACAATGCTCTTCGAATGGGTTGAGATATAACTAACTGCGATTGGGAATATAATCCAAGCTATTTCTTTTAAAAAAAAAAAGGAATTTTGTTTTGCCTAATGGGTTCTGGAAGATTTGGAATTCTTTTCTCCCTCAGGGGAGAAAAGAGTGGCTACATATGAGAGGAGAGTTAGACTTTTCCAAACAAAAAAGGATTGGTCACATTTGCCTGACAAAAATCAAAAGGTCGACAAATGAAGTCAAAAGTACAGATTAATTGTGATAATTGAATTGCAACATGTTTCCAAGGAAAACCTAGCAGAAATGGGGTGGCACGGTGGTTAGCACTGCTGCCTCACAGCACCAGGGATCCGGGTTCAATTCTACCCTCAGGCAACTATCTGTGTGAAGTTTGCACATTCCCCCCAGTGTCTGCGTGGGTTTCCTCCAGGTACTCCAGTTTCTTCCCACTGTCCAAAGATGTGCAGGTTAGGTGGATTGGCCATGCTAAATTGTCCGTAGTGTTCAGGGATGTGTAGCTTATGTGGGCTGCTCTAAGGGTCGGTGTAGACTTGTTAGGCCAAAGGGCCTGTTTCCACAATGTAGGGATTCTGTGAAATGAGTGCCATCAGTGGGCAGCAGTGAAATAAAAAGTCAAGAGCAGAATAAAAGGAAACAGATCCTCCATAGGTCATTACTGATAATATGGGATTAACTCTCTGAAAAGGCCATTGGGAGTATAGTATTCCTAAATCAGAACAGAATGGGCCAGACATCATTCATGTTTTAATGAGAAGGGAGCTAGAATATTAAGTGACTATTTTATATCCTAACATTGATGGCATTGCTTAAAAATAACATGTGATTAGGATCTGGAATGCATTGCCTCGTGTGTGGTAGAGACAAATTCACTTGCTATTTTCAAACAGAACTGAGCATTAATCTGAAAAGAATTGCAATGCCAAGAAACAGACAGAAGGACTAGGTGAGTTGACAGTACAGAGCAAATGGCCTATGTTAGGAATCATTCTATGATCCCACAAATTACCAGCCAGCTGCAGGAAAGAAAAGAACAGATATGCCAAGTGCTTACCCCATTCTGTCATTACGTGAGGAACAGAGAAAAAAAACCTTCCAAAATAACAGACCATCTTTAAACAAACGGCAAGCCAAAAGGATTTGTGAAACTGTAGATCAAGACAAATTTAAAACAGAACTGGTGCAATTTATACTTCCTGAGTATTGGTACAAAAAATGAGTACCATCAACCAAAGGAAATTGCCCTTATTGTAAAGTTACTATAAAAGGAATCAAATTTAAAAATGCACAGCAACTGTAGAGTACAAAAACATTTAAATCTCCATTTAGTCTTGTACCGGAGACCACTCCAGCTGGATTTACTAGCAGAATTCCATACAATTGACTTTCACTGCTTCATGTACTTTATAGGCAAATGCTGATTAAAGTTAAACCTCTCAGACTTGGAGTACAAATTTTTTTAACCTATCATAATAGAGATCACACCCTACCCCCTTCCCATCACCTCATGTGAGCTGACTAGTGCTCCTATATTGATGTTACATGGAATAGCAACAGCCCAATTACAGAAAGGGTAGGTGCCATACAACTCCTTACTGTTACTTGATTCATCAATTATACACCACAGATGTTTCAAAGGATACTTTGTCTTGAAAAAAATTCTGGTATTTACGTAGCTATCTTGAATATACTGAAGAATAAACAAACTTCCATTTCCACCAGAATATACAGCATTAGGAGGAGGTGAACAAGAACAATACCACTGGGTCAAGGCAATAAAATTTCCATAGCTCTACAAGAGCACAAGGATCCTTTCTCCACTGGAGGTGGTTTAACCTGAAGGTCACCACACCTCAGGCCAGGTGAGAGGTTGAGAAAGAGTCCTTCATGATAACCTCAGCTGGTGCAGGAATTGAATCCACTTTGTTGGTATGACTCCACGTTGCAAACCAAGCTCTTGGTCAATACAGTATGCATTAGATTGTTACCTTGTATCACAGTACCCCAAACAGAATCAGGAGTGGAATTTAAACTCTATTCCCACAGGAAGTTCAACCATCCAAATAGAACTTACCATAAGGTATGCCCACAACTGTAACGAACATAAATACAGCAATTATAAGGTACAGCAGGGCAACCCACCAACCAAACAACAGCACATACAACAGGTTGCCAAAAGTAAACAAGGATCCTGAAAGAAAGAAAGAAATTCTGATGAGCGACAGTGGGCCACAAATACGTGATAAGGTGGTTTTGGGTGCATTCCACAATCACTGCAATGCAGGGCAATATGAACACAAAATTCAAGCACACACATTCCAGCATCAGGCCAATGTTTGTTCAGTCAATTGCACAAATCAGTTGTACAAAACAAACCAGCACAATTGAAAGGCTGGAGGTAGGGAGGTCACATCAGGTACTGCAGCAACATTTTAAAAAGAAAACAAGGGTTGTCACAATGGCTTTAGATAAAGTGAGGATCTGCTTATATAATACTTTCAAGACAGCATTCCCTGGCCCCAAACATGGTGGTAGAAGGAATCAGCACCTTTGCAGCTCAAAAGACAGCTTGTTTAGTGTGCTGTCAGCAATACTCAGCCCATGCTCCCAGCTTGGGGCTGGCAAGTAAATATATTTTATGTACTAAGCTCTTGCAAAGTGCTTTGAAACTTTTTATGCTGTGATTGGTTTGCTCACCAAGCTGGTTTGTTACTTTGCAGACGTTTCATTAGCCTGCTGGTTAATATCAGTGCAGCCTCTGATAAGTGCTGTTGTGTTTTCCCACCTGGTATTTAAACTCTGGGATCTGTTGGAATGGTTACCTCATTTCCAGTTTTTCTTCGCAGTGGTGTGTATATACAGGATCTAATTCTGTGTTTATTGATGGCCTTCTTGGTGGCGAACCAAGGCTAGGTTCAGGCCAAACAGACAAGCACGGGAATTAGAATTAGACCTAGACCCTCCATATACACACCACTAAAACCGGAAATTAGGTAACCAATTCCAACAGACCCCAGAGTTTAAATACCAGGTGGGAAAATACCACAGCACTTCAGAGGCTGCACTGACGATGTTATCCAGCAGGGTAATGAAACGCCTGTGATCTAACAAACCAGCTCAGCGAGCGAACCAACCATAGCATCCACAACCCGAGCTACAAATCTACTCAAGAATCTTAAAATTTATATACTATGTTTTAACACAAGTTACTGTAAAAACTACTCATAGCTAAATGACTGTCATCTTACTGAAGACCAATGACCCCTAGTTCTCCACTCCCCTAAGCAGAAGGGGGAGGGGGAAGAAGAGAACACAACTTGTCCATGTCAACCCCAACAATCTAAGAATTTAGACATTTCAACATGATCATCTTATTCTTAACTAGAGGCTTTCTACTCAACCTCTGTTTGGACAAGATCCTCATGAACCTGATTGGTTTGCCAAACCAACTGAATCCCCAACACTCCCCTACTCCAGTAAAGCCTGCTTAAATCAATGAGGTAAATACACTAGAATAAGTGGAGAAACAGTCCAGAATAGTTCAGCTTTGACTTGCATTCTTTTTCTTCTGTGCTGCATTTGGAAAAGTAATGAAAAACTCCATGCATTGCCTTACTGGAATATTGTTTGATCACATTTAGATCAGAATACAGTTCCTTCACTATCGCAGAACGGTCTTCCAAGGGTCTCTGCGTCACGTGGCTCTTCCACTTCTTGAATCCGAACTACAAAAAAGGTAAGAAAGAGTTTGTTACAAAGTAACTATCAAGGTGTACTAAACATGCCCTCATGCAATGAGCTCTTGCCCCTACCCTTCAATACAGAAGGAAACATTGATGTTCCACGATACAGCAAAACACAGAACAACCCCAATTGCCATTCCCAAATATAATGTTCTACACCTTCTTTCCTCCAACACAGAGCCGATCATTCTCAAATTGAGGAGCTAAAAACATTCTTTCCGAGCATCTCAATTTTAAAAACCCAACATGGTTTCTCATTTGACTCCCTTCAACCTCAGGATCCTGCATTAATGGATTTTGCCCAGGTCATCCAGGTTTGCCATGGAATCTGGCCATTACAGCTTGATTCCAAATATGCAAAAGTCATCTTCAACCTTCTTGAGATGTACAGAACAATGTTGGAACAAAAAAATGCTACAAATGTTCTGCTCACCTTGTAATTGTTGGCTAGTTTCTGTGCCTCAACTTCATTTTCTGCCAGTAGTGTAGTTCTTGTGGTTGTCATTAGGCAGTGGGGACATGTTATTCCTTCACATGAATGATTGTGTGTTGGTGTTGAACAGGTCACTGCAATAAACCAAAACAGAAGTTCAGGAAAACAGCAAATAGTCAACCCTTTTAAAAAAGGAAAACTTACCACATGGTGTTATCTCCAGTTGCAAGCATGGCAAAACCAACATTTAAGCAGGCAAGTACCACTTTAAAACCAGTTCAGATGCATGCGATTTTATCAAATCATTCAGTTGTACAGAGATGAAAGTAAGTAACATGAACCTTCTTAAAAATGAATACTGATATATAGGAAATAACTACAACACTGTTCCAAGCATCCTTATAACTACACAAAGGATTAAGCTCATGATCAGTGTTATACTAAACAGTGAGGAAAGAGGTGATTTTAAATAATCACATGCCCACACAGATAATTGCTCTGGGAATTTTAACACTTACCTGAACCACCATTAGAAACACCATTTTAGTTAATCTCCTTTTAGTGGTAGCTCCTACAACCTGGGGAGCTGATTCAACTAGTCTGTGATGGAACACAAATCCACTACTGACAACCAAAAGGAGTCAATTGCTGCTATTACTGGCCTGAGGCAGAAAAAAAAGGCTAAGTTAGGGAACCAGAAAGGACGTGGAGTAGTTGGATAGGAACAAATTCTGAACAGTCCCAAATATAATATGGCAAGGTCACTGTGACCAATGATCAACTTTGGAAAGAAGTGCCAAACTTAAGCCAATAGAAAAAAAAACACCAATTGATTCTCATTAGGACTGAACGTGGGAGCCCCATGCAATGGAGAAAAGCCAAACGCAACAAAACCCAAATCTTGCTCCAGTTAAGACTTAGATATTTCATTGTGGTGGGGGTAAAAAATGCTGTTGAGTGCTACTGGACTAACCTGGGAATAATTGTGCTGTAAATGAAGGGGTATCCATCATGTCAGTCTGCAGATGTAGCCCCCAGTGCCTGTCCCAAAGGCTCAAAGAACAGGGAGGTGCTTCTGACCTTAGACTTTGGGAGGGAGACTGAGCTATCAATAGAAGAAAAGTCCGCAGTAAGCTGACACCAAATTATTCTACATTGACCTTTATAGCCACAAGTGTTCAGATTAATAGGTTCAAGTAGAACTCACACAGACATGAAATTGCCTCAAATGAAAAAAGGTATGCTGTTCATGATTGAGTTTTGACTGAACAAAACACTACAAATTTAGCTTTGAGTACAACCTAAATTGTGCAATGTAAAAAAAATGAGCAAAAGGCAAAAAGGAACTGGCTTAGCAATTGTTATTTAATCCTCAGAAGATTTGATTTATTATTGTCACGTGTGAAGGTAGTGAAAAGTATTGTTTTGCAGGCTAACTAGACATCAAATCTGACATAAATACATCAGAGGAAAGACTGTTAAGCCTCATCTCTATACAAAAATGCACAGGTACACAAAGTTGTCAAGTATCCTGTTTAATATGTACATTGGTCCTTATTGGGAAAAGAAGCAATAAGATTCAATGAAATTTCCAGTTTATGCTGTAGAGTCTTGCTTCAATCACATATGAACAGGTTTATAGCTGTCAAGTAAAATTCACGTAAACAAGTATATAAAGTTGTCCATACCACACTACAGCTAGAGTGTCTGTAGACCCTGGGGAACCACATTCTTGAAACAAAGATTCAGAGGGAATATTCAAGAGGTTAGGATATCATTGAACAGAATGCATGACAGTCAGAGGCTGCATTCACAAGTTTCAGGAAAACAACATTTTTAAGAGCAGAAAACGAGTATAGATTCCCACATACAGAGTACTGAATATCTGACCTTGCCAATAAATTTGGAGCATTGCCCCAACAGGGAAATACCTATTGCTAGATGTGTTTGTACTTTCGTTGGTCAGAACATGAGTATGTGTTGAGATGTTGTATTGCAGCTGTACAGGACAATGGCAAGGCCACTTTTGGAATACTACATACAATTCTGGTCACCTTTCTACAGTGAGGATTTTAAACTTAGCAGGGTATAGAAAAGATTTACAAGAACGTTGCCAGGACTGGTGTTTGAGCTGCAGGAAGAGGCTGAATTGGCTGGGGCTATTTTCTCTGGTGCATGAGAGAAATGAGGGGTGACCTTGTAGAGGTTTATAAAATCATGAGGGGCATGGATAGAGTAAATGGACAAGGTATTTTCCCCTAGGGTGGGGAATCCAAAACTAGAGGGCATAGGTTTAAGGTGAGAGAGGATAGATTTAAAAGGGACCCGAGGGGTAACTTTTTCCATGCAGGGGGTGGTGCATGTATGGAACGAACTGTCAGAGGAAGTGGTGGAGGTGCGTACAATTGCAACATTTAAAAGCATTTGGATGGGCATATGAATAGGAAGGGTTTAAGAGGGATACAAACCAAACACTGGAAAAAATGTGACCAGGTCAGATTGGGACGTCTGGTCAGCGCAGATGAGTTGGACTGAAGGGTCTGTTCCCATACTGTATTACAGTATGGTGGCACCAGACAATGCAGGAAGGGTAAACTGGTGCATGTAAAGTTGTCTTGTTTCAATCTTAACCATGCTACACTTACTGCAAACCAATATTTATAAAGCGAGCCTGAGCAATCCAGTCTTCTATCATAGAATCCCTACAGTATGGAAACAGGCCCTTTGGCCCAAGTCCACACCAACCCTAAACGTATCCCACCCAGACTCATCCTCAGATACTATGGGCAATTTAGCATGGCCGATCCACCTAGTCTGCACATCTTTGGACTGTGGGAGGAAACCCACGCAGACATGGAGAGAATGTGCAAACTCCACACAGACAATCACCCAAGAGTGGAATTGAACCCAGGTCCCTGGTGCTGTGAGGCAGCAGTGCTAACCACTGAGCCACCGTGTCACCCAGTTTGATTTGCACCCATTGATGTTAGACATTCACTTCCTCCAGTGATGCGGAGTGGCATCAATGTGTACCATCTACGATATTCACTGTAGTGACTCATTGAAAAATGATCAGCAGCACCTTCCAAACCCATGACATCTACCACCTAGGAGGACAAGGAGTGGGCACCTTTCACATTCACTGGTAGTGCTAGTCTACACTGATTTCCACTTAAGACTACAAAAAAGAAGAGACAGATTGAAATCAGCTGAACCGACATTTTCAGAGTCTATCACACCATAATCAGTTCAAAACGTGCAACCTGCAAAGTCTGGATAAAGTTACTTTATTCAAATGGTTGCTATGTTGGGCCACTGAAGGGCGCTTCTTAGTGACATTCTATTCCCTCACTGTCAGAACACACAACGTTTGCTGTAAACACTAACGTTAACATGGTGGCAAGCAGCCAAACCTCCCAGACAGCACTGCTGGACTTTTCTGAACAGAATGGTCTGGCATATTACTAATTTTGCTAAGTAGCCAGCTTGAGCAGTCAACTCTCAATTTAATCTGGATTCATTCGAATTATTAATGAAAAAAAGGGGGCAGGGCAGAGAACTTGACTGATGAAAACTGTCTGGAAACAAGCCACTTCATCTAGTTGCCATGGTGACAGGGCTCCAAGTCAATAAAACAGACACTCATACAGAAGACAACAACTTTACAGGATGCAGACTTAGACTCCAAGTCAGACAGATTCAGGGAAAGTGACCAACCAAAAAAGTCAACCACCAAACAGAGTGCTGCTGTGGACAGATTCCGGATTCAAAGAAACAAGGTACGTGGAGAATTAAAGTCCAACGAGTCCCAAAAGATGTTTTGCTTTGGGTGCTCAGAAAATTAGGTGAAAAAAGAGACCATTTTAAAAAGGGATGCAGGAGATTCATTAATACCATTAAAGCCTGGAGGGAGATCAGGATTTGACAAGACAATGCACTCACTGGAATGGTTTTTTAAAATTTCATTTGAGAGGTGTGGGGGTCACTGGCTGGCCAGCATATATTGTTTGTTCCTACTGCCCTTGAGAAGGTGGTAGTGAGCTGCTGTCTTGAACCATTGCAGTCCACCTGCTGTGGGTTGACCCACAATGCCATTTAGGGTGGGTATTCCAGGATTTTGACCTAGCACCGTGAAGGAACTGCAATATATTTCCAAGTCATGTTGGGGAGTGGCTTGGAGGGGAACTTGATGGTGTTCTCATGTATCCACTGCCATATTCTTCTAGACAGGAGTGGTCATGGATTTGGAAGGTGCTGTCGGAGGATCTTTGGTGAATTTCTGCAGTGCATATTGTAGATAGTTGCAGCAACATTCACTGAGCGTTGGAGAGAGGGAGTGGATGCAGTGCCAATCAAACCAGCTTGCTTCGTCCTAATGGTGTCAAGCATCTTGACTATTGTTGGAGCCGCACTCATCCTGGCAAGTGAGGAGTGTTCCAATACACTCCTGACTTGTGTCTTGTTGGGTAATGGACAGGCTTTGGGGAGTAAGGAGGTGAGCCACTCACTGCAGTATTCCAAGACTCTGACCTGCTCTTGTAACTAATGTTTATGTAGCAAGTCCAGTGAATTTCCTTCCAGCAATAACAGTGGGAGTGGTTGGATTGTCTCTTATTTGGTGATAGTCAGAGTCTGGCATTTGTGTGGTGTGCATTTTACTTTATACTTGTCAGCCTAAACCAGGATATTGTTCAGGTCTTGTTGCATTTGAACATGGACTGCTTCAGTATCTGAGAAGTCATGAATGGTACTGAACATCATGCAATCAAACATCCCTACTTCTACATTACGATGGAGGGAAGGTCATTGATGAAGCAGCTGAAGATGGTTGGGCCAAGGACACTACCCTGAGGAACTCCCAGAGATGCCCTGGGGCTAAGATCACTGACCAACAATCATGACCATCTTCCTACATACCAAGTATGGCTCCAACCAGGACAGAAGTTGCCCCTGATTCCTACGGATTCCAGTTTTGCTAGAGCTCCTTTACACTACACTCTGATGTCACACTTGAAGTCAAGGGCTGTCACTCTCACTTCACCTCAAAATGGAATGTATAAAACGTGACATGGGTTTGATTAAGTTAGTAGGAAATCTGTGATTGTATCTTAATTATACAATGTTTAGTTGATGC